TTGATGCGTTTGAGCCAAGCATTGAAGGAAAAACGGCCGCTATATGAGCAGAGACATGACAAAGTGATTTTGCAACATGACAATGCTCGGCCACATGTTGCACAACCGGTGAAAACGTACTTGGAAACACTTAAATGGGAAGTCCTACCCCACCCGCCGTATTCCCCAGACATCGCCCCTTCGGATTATCACTTGTTCCGATCGATGGCACATGGCCTGGCTGAGCAGCACTTCCATTCTTATGAAGATGCCAAAAAATGGATTGATTCTTGGATAGCCTCAAAAGACGTGTCGTTTTTCCGACATGGAATTCAAATGCTGCCAGAACGATGGGAGAAAGTAGTGGCTAGCGATGGACAATACTTTCAGTGACGTGTTTATTACAACTTTTTTAAAATAAAGTGTTAATTTTCACAAAAAAACAGCGAGAACTTATTCAAGGTCCTTATACATCTGCTATCATACCTTTAACATGGATCTCTATCCACACATGCACTGCATGATGTTACAACATCTAGCATAATTAAATTTTGTAGCACACTCATAATGGTTTTTAATTTTAATTTAAATAATGTGTACCACTTACATTAGAACATTGCATTCCGTTTTTAACTTTTTGTTCGCTTGAAGATGATGAATATAAATACGTTGAAAATGCTAGCAAAAATAAAAACTGCTAATGCTACACTCAGTGTGTTTTACTTCCTTTTACACAAAAAAGATATCCTAAATTCATTTGAAGTCAGTAATTGATACTATTAATAGTTTAACCAATTTAAATAAAATATTAAACTTCTGAATTAAATGTATTTATTAAAAATTTATGTAATGGTCCAGAGCTGAATCTATTATTGTTTGTAATGGTAAAGAACAAATATTACCCTAGGTACTCAAATGTAAGATGCACTTTCTTCAAATTTTAGTTATTTTGCAAATAGGATATGTCTTAGATTTGATGTAATACCTCATCTTTAGCTACCTCTTGCCATCTGTCATATTTCTCTGTCAATAATTCCATTGCATCAGTTTAATAATTTTATTAGATTAATATTTGTAATAGTAAATATCTAAGAGGTCAACTTAACTCACAAAATTGGGATAAACAAAATATTTAAGTATAGTACAGTAATGAAAAATAAATTTTTAAAATTTATATTATATTATCTAATTGAGCAGCAAATGATGCAATGGCTATGGCATATGAATAATATGACTAAACAATATACCAGTTACCGAAAAATGACAAGAAGAGATAAGACAACAATTTTTCTGGTATATACAAAATTTTGATATGAGATGGTCATTTAATTTATTATACAGATCACACTTTTAAATATACCAGCTTTAGAGTTAAGGAGCATCAGGGTTACAGAATATGTTCATATCTTCAATTGTGTGTTGAAGTTCAGATGAAACTAAAGCAGTTCCAGGGAAATTTACGGTAGAAAAATATTATGGCAATAGCTGCAGAAATGCTACAATAAAATGAAATAATGTCAGCTAAGCTTACAGATATTAATTCAGAAAATTTGCTGAAATGCAGAGATAAAAAAAGAAGAAAAAATGGAATTAATTAAGTGTGCACAGACATTATGAGGGCAAGAGGCATGTGACGGAATGAGTTGGTCACAGTTACCAAATCATGGTTTCGATTTTTATGAGAGATCAAAACTAAGCTTTAAAATAACCAAAAAGTTTCAGTTTTTGTTTTTGACACTATTTATTGAGTGAAATTTTGTGCCAGCTTGAATTAAAACAAAACATTTGCTCATTTCTTTACATGGAAAATTTGCAAATTTTGAACAGCATTTAAAAAAAAAGATATTTGAATTTGCAACATTATGAACTGCTTTTCTTAATTGTTTAATAAAACATTACTTAGCTATTTTATTATGTAATGCTTTTTCCCCACATTTTTTCTTAGATATATTTTGACATTGTTTTGAAATTTATTATAACATAAAAATTGACAAAAAATGTGGTTGCATTTTCAAAAAGCATGTTTGGTATTTTATGGTTGATTAAGAAAATTGTGATAAAAACATGGGATTGCAGAACTAAATTGTTCTCCTGTAGATTATTTCTTGTTTCCAAAATCAAACTAATGCTAAAAAAGAAGACAATTTGAAGATACAGAAATTAAATAATGTAGTAAACAGAATTTATTTTGATAAATTTATATACATTTTAAGAATATTTTGTATAACTCTACAAATAATAAGGATATATAACTTAAGCAAAAATTATTTTGAATAATAGTAAGAGTTCATGATAGAGAAATTTTATAGTGCTATTAAAATTAAATTATGTTATAATTATTTTCAAATATTAAAACATAGCAATACTGAAGAATAAAACAGCTATTGAACAATAATAAAACTAAGAATAATATGTTTGATATTTAATATTTTAAAATATAAAGTGTTATAAAATTCTTTGTTTTAAAGTATATTTTAATTTTACAGTTTACAGTTTAAAATTATTATTGTTTTTGTAGATCCGTGCTGAACTTAGACAAGCAGAACAACAAATTCAGCAAAGAGGTAGAGCTGCTGAAGTTAGATGGTCTTGTGATAAATGGCAGCAAACTGCTGCAGGTTAGTTGTTTAAAATTTTAGAATAGCAAAATTTTTTTCTATTTGATTATATCTATCAAAAATTATCTGTTCAGTAATATTTTTTATAACTGGCTTTTGAATGAAATCACATTTAAAGTAATTTCTGTTTAATGAAATTGTTTGAGTCAGATTGATCATATTTTTATTAAAATGATTTATATATAAATTTCTAGACTATAATTTGTCTATTCACTAATATATACTTATATACTAATATATATTTATTTCTAAATAATTAGATGATCTTAGAGAATATATTTGAAGAAGAGTGGTAGAGTAAATACAATTAATAATGAAAGTAGATAGATGACAGGTATAGAAAAGTTGATTAAATTGCACACAAACTGTATTTGATCCCAGTTTATACGGATATGGAAGATCAGATGGAAAAAAACTGTTGCTTATTGCTAACAACAATCCAGAGCATGACCCACTGTGTCAATCATATCAAGGGAAATGTGATCACTCTACCCAAAAGTGGATAAAATAGTCATTATAAGAAACAAAAAAAGCAGAACATATCACTTGGTCTTGCCAGATGTAACAGATCAAAGAATTGAATGGTAGGAACAGCCCCATATCTGTGTGGAAATAGATGCCAAAAGAGACTTCAGCAACATTGAAAATATATAATTTCATTCAAATGAAATTTGTCAGCATGCTCTAATTCATTTTATATAAAATAATGAATATTTCTTTAATTCAAGCCTATTTTAGTTTTCTTCATAACATATTTAATGTTAGTTTGGAAAATAATCACTAATTTATAAAAAATTTTTAAGTAAAAAGAAATAGTTATGTCGAAAAATTAATAAATTGATGAGAAGAATGCTTAATTTTTAATTTAATTTTATTTTTAAAATTTATATTATATTATCTAATTGAGCAGCAAATGATGCAATGGCTATGGCATATGAATAATATGACTAAACAATATACCAGTTACCGAAAAATGACAAGAAGAGATAAGACAACAATTTTTCTGGTATATACAAAATTTTGATATGAGATGGTCATTTAATTTATTATACAGATCACACTTTTAAATATACCAGCTTTAGAGTTAAGGAGCATCAGGGTTACAGAATATGTTCATATCTTCAATTGTGTGTTGAAGTTCAGATGAAACTAAAGCAGTTCCAGGGAAATTTACGGTAGAAAAATATTATGGCAATAGCTGCAGAAATGCTACAATAAAATGAAATAATGTCAGCTAAGCTTACAGATATTAATTCAGAAAATTTGCTGAAATGCAGAGATAAAAAAAGAAGAAAAAATGGAATTAATTAAGTGTGCACAGACATTATGAGGGCAAGAGGCATGTGACGGAATGAGTTGGTCACAGTTACCAAATCATGGTTTCGATTTTTATGAGAGATCAAAACTAAGCTTTAAAATAACCAAAAAGTTTCAGTTTTTGTTTTTGACACTATTTATTGAGTGAAATTTTGTGCCAGCTTGAATTAAAACAAAACATTTGCTCATTTCTTTACATGGAAAATTTGCAAATTTTGAACAGCATTTAAAAAAAAAGATATTTGAATTTGCAACATTATGAACTGCTTTTCTTAATTGTTTAATAAAACATTACTTAGCTATTTTATTATGTAATGCTTTTTCCCCACATTTTTTCTTAGATATATTTTGACATTGTTTTGAAATTTATTATAACATAAAAATTGACAAAAAATGTGGTTGCATTTTCAAAAAGCATGTTTGGTATTTTATGGTTGATTAAGAAAATTGTGATAAAAACATGGGATTGCAGAACTAAATTGTTCTCCTGTAGATTATTTCTTGTTTCCAAAATCAAACTAATGCTAAAAAAGAAGACAATTTGAAGATACAGAAATTAAATAATGTAGTAAACAGAATTTATTTTGATAAATTTATATACATTTTAAGAATATTTTGTATAACTCTACAAATAATAAGGATATATAACTTAAGCAAAAATTATTTTGAATAATAGTAAGAGTTCATGATAGAGAAATTTTATAGTGCTATTAAAATTAAATTATGTTATAATTATTTTCAAATATTAAAACATAGCAATACTGAAGAATAAAACAGCTATTGAACAATAATAAAACTAAGAATAATATGTTTGATATTTAATATTTTAAAATATAAAGTGTTATAAAATTCTTTGTTTTAAAGTATATTTTAATTTTACAGTTTACAGTTTAAAATTATTATTGTTTTTGTAGATCCGTGCTGAACTTAGACAAGCAGAACAACAAATTCAGCAAAGAGGTAGAGCTGCTGAAGTTAGATGGTCTTGTGATAAATGGCAGCAAACTGCTGCAGGTTAGTTGTTTAAAATTTTAGAATAGCAAAATTTTTTTCTATTTGATTATATCTATCAAAAATTATCTGTTCAGTAATATTTTTTATAACTGGCTTTTGAATGAAATCACATTTAAAGTAATTTCTGTTTAATGAAATTGTTTGAGTCAGATTGATCATATTTTTATTAAAATGATTTATATATAAATTTCTAGACTATAATTTGTCTATTCACTAATATATACTTATATACTAATATATATTTATTTCTAAATAATTAGATGATCTTAGAGAATATATTTGAAGAAGAGTGGTAGAGTAAATACAATTAATAATGAAAGTAGATAGATGACAGGTATAGAAAAGTTGATTAAATTGCACACAAACTGTATTTGATCCCAGTTTATACGGATATGGAAGATCAGATGGAAAAAAACTGTTGCTTATTGCTAACAACAATCCAGAGCATGACCCACTGTGTCAATCATATCAAGGGAAATGTGATCACTCTACCCAAAAGTGGATAAAATAGTCATTATAAGAAACAAAAAAAGCAGAACATATCACTTGGTCTTGCCAGATGTAACAGATCAAAGAATTGAATGGTAGGAACAGCCCCATATCTGTGTGGAAATAGATGCCAAAAGAGACTTCAGCAACATTGAAAATATATAATTTCATTCAAATGAAATTTGTCAGCATGCTCTAATTCATTTTATATAAAATAATGAATATTTCTTTAATTCAAGCCTATTTTAGTTTTCTTCATAACATATTTAATGTTAGTTTGGAAAATAATCACTAATTTATAAAAAATTTTTAAGTAAAAAGAAATAGTTATGTCGAAAAATTAATAAATTGATGAGAAGAATGCTTAATTTTTAATTTAATTTTATTTTTAAAATTTATAAGATTACCAATACTTGGTCAATCAGGAAATGGAAAATTTCAGATAATTACAAAATTTTTGCTAATGGTTTGAGAAGTTAATTTATATTACTGAGATTAATAATGCTAAGCATTATTTCAAAAATAAATATTTTATTTAAATAAACAAATATGACCTGAAATATAAACTTTGATTTAAATTTATAAGGAAATGGTTAGATTCTACTCTCAAATATATTTTTTCTATTCAGACTTTTTAATGATTGGATAAATTGGTTTATATCCTAATTTTACTTTAATTGTGATTTGTTTATTAATGAAATCAATTTTGTAGATATTATGCAATAATTTTATTTAATTTATCATAAAAGTTTACAGAATAATTGCACTAGCTATTACATCACAAATTTTTCACAAGTACTGTACATAGACATTTGAAAATTATATTATTTTTCAGGTGCTACTATTCAACGTGTTCTTAATGCTCTAGATACCTTGGATCGCCATTTTTTTAATAAAGTAGATGTGGGAAATTCTTTAGACACATTATATGCTAAAATATTTCCAGCAGTAAGTGAAAGAGATCAGAATCTAACTGGTGTAAATACAGTTGCTGAAATACTGATTCAAGATGAACCCATTGTTCGTTTATTATGTGAATGGGCAGTCACTACTAAACGAAGTGGAGATCATCGTGCCTTAGTTGTTGCCAAACTTTTGGAAAAAAGACAGAGTGATTTAGCATCAGAGGTTAGAAAGTTATAATATAGTACATCTGTTATTGCATATATATTAATTTATTTTTATATTTATATATATAATTTGTTGTTGTTGTCATCAATATTTATAATATATAAATTCTATAATGACTCAAAACAGGAAAAGATGATTCCATGGCTATAAACATTTAAAATAAACTCAAAACAGTTAAAGTAATCAGGATATATATTGTATTAAACATTTGATGATCTGAAGATAGAACTGAAAATCTTAAAATTACTTAATGTAATAAATAATCTGACTTCTTTAACTATTTTGAGATTTTTTCTAATGTTTAATATTCTATAAGAGCTGCCGCAAACTACAGGATATGGGAGCTAGTGTACACTCGGTCGCGCTCCCAAACCCCACCTTTTTTTCTCATGAAGCTATGAGCCATTTTTGCTAGGTAAGCTATGCGGGCAAGACGCAGCCTCAAACTACATAACATTTGCTCGTGTAATGTAATCCACATGACCTGGATTCCACAGATGTGGATTGGCTATAGAACAAGATTTTATTATAACTTATACTTGTAATCAGTCAGTTTTCATTCCGAACTTTGAAACGGCATGGGAAAAACTTGCTTACTAGCTGAAAACTATTTATATATTACTATTTACATACAACATTTATACTATTTTCTTTTCAATACTGAATGTATTAATCATGTAATTTACATACATCGATAAAATTCTATTATTTCTTTTCGATATGTGACATTTTCATGTAGTCATCCATCTTCCCCGCTCTCTATTGCTAGCGTGACTGCTCTAGCTGTTGAATTCTGTGAACAGCGAGCGTACTCTCGTATTGCTGCGCTAGGAGAGGAAAAACCGCACGGGCAAGAAGAAAGGGGCGGAGCCTTTGATGTCATCAGCTGTGCTAGCGCACGTTTGCTAGCGTTTTGCTCTTGCAAAGCGCTAGTTTGTGGCAACTCTAATGATTTATAATATTTCAAAGTTGATTTTTATTTAGAAGTTTTTTGCTATTGTCATAAATAATTGTGATGATGATTTTAAAAAATAATGTAAAATTTTCAAACTTCCAGAATATACAGTAGAGCGTCATTTATCTGTATTAATTGGGGACTGGGGTTGTTCGGATAACTTATTTTTTGGATAACCGATTACATACAAAAAAATATATTAACCTATCCCATGTTGAAATTTTTCTCCATTGCGTGTCGCTTTGCGTTGAATTTTTGTTGATGTTAAGCCTAACGAAAACTTTTTAAAATATTAATCGTGGCTATTGTATCATTAAAAATTATTTCTTTATTTTGTACAAACAAAATAAATATATTGAAAAATATAAAAACAAAAAAATGATACTTTAGAAGTTAATCTATTATCAAAAATGTTTGATTCAGCACGACACACAGTTCTCAGAAAAACACCACACAAAATTGCCAGTGCTGCCAGCTAAAACACACACATCAACCAAAAAAATATTGGAGTAGCCCAAGATATAACCAAAGGTTGCAGCACCACAGCACTAGCAGAAATTTAAATTTGCCAACTGGAATGCTTTCCGTTGACCGGCTTTCAGATAAATGACGCTCTATTGTATTGTCTTGAAAAGATTATAATTTTTTAAAACATATTAACATTACAAAAAATGAAGGAAGAATTTTTCATTCTATAACCAGCCAATAATGAAATCATTGTAATATCAATTGTAATCACAATTAGTTTTAATTGTGATTACAAAAATTTCATTGAACATGTTGAATTCATAAGTTAATAATAAAGCATTTTGAAATTGAAATATCAAATTGGTTTGTTGACCTTGTTTACTGGATAAAAATATGAAATGTTAATCAATCTTAATTGATTGTTTGATATTGGTTGCAAATATTCTAAAGCATGCTATTTACTTATATGAAATATTAATGTGATTGTTGTTTTAATATTTTAGAAATTTTTTCACAATTGTGAACCACAGGAGGTTGGAGCGGTGAGCTCCACCCCACTTATCAGCTTCTTTTGTCAGGGATGGCTTCGGTTATTTGAGTGGGAAGGGTAGCGAGGTCGTGACAAGATATTGGTCGTATTCAAAGATGACATTATTGAAATTAAGAATAACTTATTTAATTATTAACAAATGATATGGATACAATCAGATACATTCATCTTCAATCAAGAGAAAATAGCAAAAATAATAAGAAGAAATCCACGTCATGACAATAATAGATGGGCGCTGTCCATCTTTCCTGTCTGGACCATTGGACCAATAGGTCCACTATTTGTGAATTTCCTAAAATCTAGTCTAAACCGAGAGAGAGAATTAAAAATTTTTCTAAGTCTTTACCTCGGTTGCAGTGGCGATCAGAAACTGCAAAGATCCAAAGTGGGGAGTAGTAGGCTTGAAGAGTTCAGAGGTCCCAGAATTCCTTTCTGGCGATTGCCCAGAGGTGCGGGTGCAATCGTCTTTTATACACGGTTGGCGTGAGAATTATCTGGGAATAATTTGACGCAATTATCTTTGTGGCATCAGTTGTTTACTTAAACCTTTGACAGTTCTGTAAATTTTTTATTGACTTACCCGTCATGTTGGCAGCCATCATCAAATTTATGATGAGCAAGTTTCACAATACCATGATTAATTGTCGCAGGTGGGTAAGATCAATCGAGGTGACATTGGCAGAACTGTCATTGTCACCTCGATTGATCAGTCAGTATTGATGTACTTGTCACTCGGGGTGATGACTGGCCACCATCGGTAACGTGATAGGGTTTCTCGCCAAACTATCTATCCTTGCAGATGACCTTTTTGGTTACCCTCTAAACAGTAACAGGTGGTTGTTGATGTTAATTGGCTGCTTAGTTTGTACATTGTATTAACGGAGAAATTAAATAATCCCCTGTGGTGAGTGGAGACCTTCTAAAGACGTTCAAGGTGATGCAGTACATGGCTGGGTCAAAAGGTTAACTTCAACAATACTGGAGGAACAGGGGAAATAATGATGGAAAAATAATTTTATAAAGGTTTAAGCTGTTTAAAATTTCCAAAAGAATTCATATTCTCACGCAATCATTCAGTGGTTTTTTGTTTTGTTTTAATAATAATTTGTCAAATACATTTATTATTGAACATATCGATTTACTGGGCTTATTATATATGTTTGCTTGTAATTTAAAATTAAAGTAATATAAAATGAATTTTTGTTTAAATTAAATTTAACAAAATTTTATCAGCAAATATTTTGCATTCAATAACATGACCAAATTCTTTTATTTAAAAAATCATAATTTTCATAAAGTAGAATGAGTACTAATGCACTATTTTATAATAATCAATTATTGTATAATTTTATATTAATTATATTAATCAAATGATTATAGATTTCACATAGTAAAACATGTTTTTAAAATGATTTTAATTTCAGGATTTCAAATTAAAGATGTCTGTTTTTATTATTTTTAATAAAAAAACAAATATATTTAATATAATAATATAAACAAAAGTTTCTAAATGTAATTTTACTAATAAACTTTTCATATCAATATAAAGCAAATTTGGTTTTAATCATTAGCAGAAATATACAGATACAGAACTAGCTGATGAAAAAGATTCTCAAGATTCAACAGGTTTGGGACCATTAGGAATTCCATTTTATCAAAATCTATTAGTGTCTTTTTTGGACACACAAGCTCCTGTTATTGGTAAGAACATATCCTTTATAATAAAAATAACTAAAATAAATAATTTTATATTTTTGTTCTTTTTCAGTATATTATTCATCATTTATATTGTTTCTTTTGCCATTTGATAAGAATTTTATTTCCTAAAAAATAAATTTTGCACTAATTTACAAAATAGTAATTATATATCAACTAAAATAAAGTTTTATTAAGTTATGTAGAAAAATTTAACTTATATGTACAATAATGCTATATAAATTATTTGTTCCATCTGAATATACCGTGTAAAAAAGATTTAATACATTTTCCAATTGAATTTAATGTGCTGTTGTAAAGTACTATATTATTTTTCCGACTTTCCAACGATTATCGACACTACTGTGTGCCGGAAATAGCCGTTCCCTAACGGGTACTTTACGCGGATTCGCGTTAGTGTGCCAGGCCTGGACTTTAAGCGTGCACCGAATTAAATAATGACAAAGTTTGTCAATAACAAAATCAAATATTTAATTAAACTTCTATTAATAAACTCTATACAGTATTTAGTAAAAATCAAACAATAATTTATTCAATGAAATTCAACAAGAATCAATCCGACAAACTCAAATCAATCTATTTCTAACTTAATTCTATTCCCCTTTGGAATTCGACAAAATCAAAGAATTAACTTATAAACAATAATTCTTATAAATTAAAGATCCTAATCGTCACCTCAATATACTAGGAACCTATTTCCTCAAACTCTCAAGACTTTCTATAATCGTCGATCCACAAATCGAATAACTTCAAAATCCTATCGGACACCTCTCTCGTTCACTGCTACGAAGCTCACCAAAGCTCGTTGCTATCAGGAATTCACCTCGTTCGTTTTCACTTGAGTTAGAGGCTTTATAGTGTGAGGTGACGTCACAATTCTGAATGAGCTCACTCTCCTCATTTACATACTTATCTGTAACATTAAATTTTTCTTGTTTATCTGGCAGATTATTTTCCGACAATACTTCGCTAACCTTTTACATTATTCTTTTTAACAATTATCGGGATGCTTTATTCTTTTAAGGTTTAGCGATTCCTAACTGGGTTGTGGGGTCTTCCCCCCCTTTTTCTCGGTGCGGACTTACTTTTTTCCGCTTGGGAAGCGCAAGTGTGCGCGAGTTTTTCTACGGCGCTTTTCTTTCGTCGGTGAGTTGGTTTTTCTTCTATTTTTAAGTTACTAAGGTGAATGGTGAGGAAACCTTCGTCTTAACTAAACATAAGCCCCAAACAAAATATAATGAAAGCAAAAATAAAAGTCAAATAAAAATAAAGCTCAGACTTGGTTCCTTACACTGTGATATTAAAATATTATTAATACAGGGTGTCCCAAAAAAATGTACTCTTTTGTTATCAATCCAATACTCATATGTTTTTTGTTCTTATCACCTAAATACCTAAATCAAAACTTAATATATTAGTAATGGTCAGTCATTTATCAGTCATGATTTAGGTGTTTAGGTGACAAAAAGACTGATAAAGGTGAGTTCATTTTTTTGGGATACCCTATATATTCATTATATATTAGTTTTATAAAATTTAATACGTAAATAATTATGTTTTAATACATTCTAAATAATTAAATGATAGTGTTGGATTGATTGTTGGGCTAGAACTTGGGTAATCAATTACACAGATATTATGTAATTATGGCTAAAGGTAGCTGTACAATTCATTAGCCAAGTTCTAGCCCGATTTGGGTCTATCTGTATCATTTTATTATTAGTATAATTTGGGCTGGTATTTCTATACATATAATATATTCCAAACTGACATTTTGCAAAAGAAAAAAGTTGTTAGTTGTCAGTACATATTTTCAAAATTTATACCCTCTCTAATCTGCTCCACTAGCCTCCATGCCTTATTGGCTTCAAAAACACCCAAGAATCGAATGCAGTCAAACTTGGTTATAATGAACATGGATGTAACAAGTTCAAGGTTATAACGAGCATACTTCACTGATATACTGAGCAAGTTTTCAGTAGCTATGCAAACACGTAAACGTTCTTAATTGTTCCTGGTAGTATGCAGTACTGAATTCTTGGAAGAGATAAAACTGAAAGAATTACTTATTAATGGGTGTTTTTGATATCCAGAAGTCTTTGCAATTCTGTGAATTATATTACAGTATACTCTATTGCAAGGGTGGGCGACCTTTTTTATAACATGGGCCAGAATAAATTTTACGTTTTTTCCGCGAGCCATAGTAGTTAATTGACACCTTGTGACCTGTAAATTTTTAGACTGCAAATAATAAATAAATAAATAAATAAATAAAAAGAAATTAATTACTACATTCGCCCCCCATAACACTGTTGATTATTCCGTTTTACATAAATTCCACGTTGTATGAGTCACTTAGATTCTACAAATGCGTGTGCCGGGCTGTGAACAGCTCACCTATTTGTAAAATCTAAGTAACTTTAAACACAATAAAAACATCACTTTGTAGTTGGATACGACAGACATTACATTTTATAATTGCATAGCTTTTGCACATAGATTTTCTTGATGGATTTAGAAAAATTCTGTTCTCCCATTTTTTGTTTGAATAAGAAAATGACTTACTTATTTTTTCCTGTCATTGCTGCCACAACACTTCAGAAAATAATATTCAATTTAAACTAGACAAATTACATCGAAAAATATTTATTTATAATTTCTTCTAAACATCTCGCGGGCCGGATAGAAACTCTTCACGGGCCGTAGCTGGCCCGCGGGCCGGGGGTTCCCCACCGTTGCTCTATTGTCATGGAATTTTTTGAGCTCATTTTCTGTAATAATAAATTCAACAGTATAATCGACTAAAGCTCATTAAAACTTCTGTATAGAGCTGATAATAATAAATTAATTTATTATATATGCATTATTTTGTTTTCTGCATCATCCAAGAAAACACCTCATTAACTTATAATGTTGTAAACTCAGACAATCTTTACCCCATCTTAGTCCAAATTAGATGGGATTTACTGTAATTAAATTTTTTGATTTTTTTTTTTAAAGAAAATTGAAACATTTTTATATTTTATAAAAATCTAATACATAAATGTATTAAATTTAAGTTTTCAAATGAAAAATTATATCAATTAAATTTTTTATTTAAAATGTATATAGTAAATAAAATGCTGTTATTGTTTTAGATGAGAAATCTTCAAGTGGAAATAGAACAGCTTTCTCTAATCTTGTTCTGCTGTTTGCTGAATTGATTCGCCATGATGTTTTTTCTCATGATGCTTATATGTGTAAATTGGTTTCAAGGGGTAGTTTTTCTAGTACAACAAATCAACAAGTAGCAACAGTTCCAAATAATATTCAAACTGTAAACAAGCCTCTCTTTATGCATGAACCATCCCTTACAGGATTTATGCATGATCCTTCTCGTGGACTTTCTCCTGCTCCAGGTAGTGCTGGATATATTGGAATGACTAGTTTAAGTATTGCTGGCTTGAATGATTCAAGTAGACCTCCAGAACCATTGCCTATGTTTGAACCTCCTGATCATCGACCTGAATCAATTAAACATGAGGTAAAACTTTGTAATTATTTAATTTGAGTGTTATTGAATTTTTATGCATAGCTTATTATTGACAATTATAAACAAGACTATGTCTTGTTTATAAAATCGCAATGCCATCAACAGCTGGACACCTAGGAGGCATGAAGAAGTACATGTCAGGAGTTGCAATTTGGCACAGAGTATTAGATGCCCAAATTATGCGCACATAAAAAAAACTAAACTTGAAAGTAGTCAGGGACCAAGAACTGAGTCAAAATAAAATACAAAATGGTGACACTTTTTCTACAAACAGGCAAGAGTGTGAGATTTGTGCATGTGTTGCTCATTGGGAAGTTGGAAATGCAAACATTGTAAAATCAAATTTTGACAAACGGATCTTCAAATAAACCCATTTACCTGTCCTGTTTTATTCCTGACATATCTCTGGTTGTGACCTGCTGACCTTGACCGGTTGACCCAAGATATTTCATTTCAGCATTGGAACATTTTTGAAACTAGATGGTGCTAGTCTTTATAATTTTATATTAAAACTAACTTCCAAAATTTTTTTTGTTTTTACATTTATTAATATATTTATTTTGTTTGTGCAAAATAAAAAAATAATTTTGGACAATACAATAGCCAAGATTATTTTTTTCAAAAATGAGAAATTTTCATTAGGCATTGACAAAAATTCAACCTGGGGCGACATGCAACGAAGAGAAATTTTGACATTGGATAGGTTAATTTCACTGAAAATGCATTGTGGATGACCTTGTGGTTGTGGCTGGTGAAGTTTGAATGATCACACTCAAAATCAGTGATACCAAAGAAGATTGAAGAATAAGAACGAGGCCCATTGTGAGCGTCAAAGTGATCCCACTTACCATAGCCAAGAACAGGCTCATGACAATGCAACCAGTCATAACCACAGTGGAAACAAAGCCCGCTGTAATCTATGCCAGGACCCCGAGTACCGGTGTCAACTTTTCCTCACTGGAAAGTGCTCATTTTTTTCTTTTCCTTAGAAAACACTGCGCAGTCGAGCTCTGAGTCTCCAAGACATAGTCTTGTCCCAAAAATGGCTTTGGCATTTTACTTTTACCTAATATATAGTAAATAAAATGCTGTTATTGTTTTAGATGAGAAATCTTCAAGTGGAAATAGAACAGCTTTCTCTAATCTTGTTCTGCTGTTTGCTGAATTGATTCGCCATGATGTTTTTTCTCATGATGCTTATATGTGTAAATTGGTTTCAAGGGGTAGTTTTTCTAGTACAACAAATCAACAAGTAGCAACAGTTCCAAATAATATTCAAACTGTAAACAAGCCTCTCTTTATGCATGAACCATCCCTTACAGGATTTATGCATGATCCTTCTCGTGGACTTTCTCCTGCTCCAGGTAGTGCTGGATATATTGGAATGACTAGTTTAAGTATTGCTGGCTTGAATGATTCAAGTAGACCTCCAGAACCATTGCCTATGTTTGAACCTCCTGATCATCGACCTGAATCAATTAAACATGAGGTAAAACTTTGTAATTATTTAATTTGAGTGTTATTGAATTTTTATGCATAGCTTATTATTGACAATTATAAACAAGACTATGTCTTGTTTATAAAATCGCAATGCCATCAACAGCTGGACACCTAGGAGGCATGAAGAAGTACATGTCAGGAGTTGCAATTTGGCACAGAGTATTAGATGCCCAAATTATGCGCACATAAAAAAAACTAAACTTGAAAGTAGTCAGGGACCAAGAACTGAGTCAAAATAAAATACAAAATGGTGACACTTTTTCTACAAACAGGCAAGAGTGTGAGATTTGTGCATGTGTTGCTCATTGGGAAGTTGGAAATGCAAACATTGTAAAATCAAATTTTGACAAACGGATCTTCAAATAAACCCATTTACCTGTCCTGTTTTATTCCTGACATATCTCTGGTTGTGACCTGCTGACCTTGACCGGTTGACCCAAGATATTTCATTTCAGCATTGGAACATTTTTGAAACTAGATGGTGCTAGTCTTTATAATTTTATATTAAAAGAATCTTTGAAAAAACCCATTTGCATGTCCCATGTTATTCCCGAATATCTCTGGTCGTGACATGCTGACCTTGACCGGTTGACCCAAGATATCTCGTTTCAGCATTGGAATGTTTTTGAAACTAGATGGTGCGAGTCATTATAATTTTATATTATAAAAACTAACTTCTGAAATATAAATTTTTTTTTCTTTTTACATTTATTAATATATTTATTTTGTTTGTGCAAAATAAAAAAATAAATTCGGATGATACAATAGTCACAATTATTTTTTTCAAAAACGGGAAATTTTTATTAGGCATCGACAAAAATTCAACCCAAGGCAACATGCAATGAAGAAAAATTTTGATATTGGATAGGTTAATTTCACCGAAAATGCATCGTGGACAACCTTGTAGCCATGGCCAAGACCAGCAAAGTTTGAACAATTGCACTCAAAACCAGCGATACCAAAGAAGATTGGAGAATAAGAACAAGATCCACCATCAGTGTCGAAGTGATCTCGCTTAGTAGTGAGTCTCCGAGACATAGTCTTGTCCCAAATATTACCTTACTGTTTTACTTGTCTTTAAGTTATTTCCAGGTTTATAAGCGTGATGAAATGTTTATTAATAAAATCAATCAAAAATTATTTCATAAAACTAATCAAGTCCAATTTAATGTAAACTGCATTACAAATTTTTAATAAAAAATTATTTCAAAAAACATTTTCACCTTTATAATGCTAACACTTCCTTGTTGTTAGAATTAAGAAAGATATTTGTGTTTTGTCTCCAAATCAGAAAAATGTAGATGTTAAGATCATTAGAAAAGTAAATTTCTTAATATGTAAATAGAATTTGCTTGAACATATATTATTTTTCAAATTAAGTCATACTAAATATTTTTAAAAATTTCTACATGTATTATATTTAATATTGGACTTAATTCTTATGTTTTAAGCAATTTGAAGTACAAGATCCTTTCAAAATACTAAGCACAAACAGTACTTACTTCAAATAAACTAACCCAGCAAAATGTAATTCAAGACACACCACCTTATGTTGCTGAGAAATTTAATAAAAATGCAACAAATGTTTTCAGCCAAATCTATTGGCCAT